AACTGTTAATTGACTTTTTTTTTCTTGAAAAAAATATTTTTAATTAATATTACGGTATTCGTTGCTAAATTACTGTCTCCAGCCTGTTATTTAACTGTCGGAGACAGTAATTTAACTGTTAATTGACTTTTTTTTTTTTTAATTTTTTTCCTTACAAAAAAAATTATTTTAATTAATATTACTGCCTTGTATGTTAAATTACTGGCTCCAACAGTAATTTAACTGTCTTAGACAATAATATTAATAATATTATTGTTCGGAAAAATAATATTCATAATATTACGGTCTCAAACAGTAATATTACTGTCAGAGACAGTAATTTAGTAGTCAAGACAGTAATATTAATTAAAATATTTTTTTTATAAGAAAAAGCAATTCAAAAAAAAAAAATGTCAACGCCGGAGACCGGCGGTCAACGGTGGTTGACCGGCCGGAAAAAAATTCAGGAAAAAAAATATTTCAAAAAAAAAAAAAAAAAAAAGTCAACGCCGGAGACCGGCGGTCAACGCGGAATCTGGCCGGAAAAAAAATATTTCAGTAAAAAAATTATTTTCTGAAAAAAAAAAGTTTTGGGGGTTAATGTGATATATTTGTTTAAATCCGGGGTCAATGTGTAATATTAAGGAAGTTAGAGCATAATGGGTGGAATTGTTAAGAATTATATTATTGAGGGTATTTTAGACTAAAGACATGGGGATGGGCTTAATGGAGACTGTTTTTTTTTTGTGGACTAAAATGCATTTAAGTCCCATGTGATGGGCCTTTTTGCCATTTGCCCCATTTTTAATTTCAAATTTTGTATTGTCTGAAAACTAGAATTTGTAGTATTCTGAGTTAGTTTTCCAATCCAACTTGAATCACCAAAATTGGATGTGTGACGGAAAAGATATACATGAATCAATGGATATTGCCCACAACTTTGATGTATTGAGGTATCTAAAATTCAAAATGTGATTCATTCAACTTTGTCACACGGCATCCAATCTAGCGGATTTAAGTTGAATTAGAAAGCTAACCCAAACTACAATTTTCGTGTTTCGAATTTTGCCAAAATCAAAATAAAAATATGTCAAAATCAGGTTCGTAGTCAAAACTACATTAATAAAATTGAAACGACATTTAACATTTCAGTACTTACAAATATATATGAGATTAAATTCTGAGCGGATACCCAATATTTAAAATATAAGGGGCAATTTCCTAAAGATCCTCCTATAAGAGTTTTTATATGTATACATTCAATTACTAATTCCCGATTTTTATTATATTTATTATTTTTATAGTGTCTAAAATACCCCTAATAAATGTGGAAAAAAAACTCTCTCTACCAAATAAAATCACCGAATCTCTCTACCAAATAAAATTCCCCAAAACTCTCTACCAAATCAAATTCCCCAAATATCTCTCTCTTCTCCCAATTTTAATTAAAAAACAAGTTAATTCGTCAAAAAAAAAAAAAAAAAACTCTGCAAAAATTCAAACTCTCAAACTTCATCAGATACAAACGTCAAATGCAAACAGCAGACACCAACTAAAAAAATATAATACGTATTATTTAACTGCAAACAACATACTACACTCGATCAAATGCAAACAATAAAGTGCAAAGGCGAATATGCATCATCTAAGTAAATAGTAAGTTGAAAATAAATTGAAAATATGATTAACATCATCTAAATTAAAAAAAAAAGGTTAGTTTCTTTACGAAAAAAAAATACACAGTACGCAAATGCAAAACACAACAACAAAATATTCCAATGCCAAAAAATAGAATTTACAATTCTCAAAAAACTATTATTACGGATTGCTATTTGCAGTATTCAATTTTATGTTTCAAATTTAGTTTGTCGATTTAAATTCTTTTTGGTGTTTGGTGAAGCGGAAAATAAATTAAAAATGCAACAAAAATATATAAATTCACTATACATAAATTTAGAGAGACAAGAAGAAGCAGATAACTAACTTTTGTAACCAATGAGGTGTTTGTTGTCGACCAAGAGATAATCTCAT